TCAGTTCCCCGTCCTTTGACCTTGAATTTGACCTTGAAGTTTGACCTTGATGAAAATGGTTTTCAATGTGCGGCTAGAACTTTGCACGCGCTACATTTTAGTGCCAAAATTTTGAAGATCGGACAATATTTAGTGGCACTTTTTCAGTTCCCCGTCCTTTGACCTTGAATTTGACCTTGAAGTTTGACCTTGATGAAAATGGTTTTCGATGTGCGGCTAGAACTTTGCACGCGCTACATTTTGGTGCCAAAATTTTGAATATCGGACAATATTTAGTGGCACTTTTTCAGTTCCCCGTCCTTTGACCTTGAATTTGACCTTGAAGTTTGACCTTGATGAAAATGGTTTTCGATGTGCGGCTAGAACTTTGCACGCGCTACATTTTGGTGCCAAAATTTTGAAAATCGGACAATATTTAGTGGCACTTTTTCAGTTCCCCGTCCTTTGACCTTGAATTTGACCTTGAAGTTTGACCTTGATGAAAATGGTTTTCGATGTGCGGCTAGAACTTTGCACGCGCTACATTTTGGTGCCAAAATTTTGAATATCGGACAATATTTAGTGGCACTTTTTCAGTTCCCCGTCCTTTGACCTTGAATTTGACCTTGAAGTTTGACCTTGATGAAAATGGTTTTCGATGTGCGGCTAGAACTTAGCACGCGCTACATTTTGGTGCCAAAATTTTGAAAATCGGACAATATTTAGTGGCACTTTTTCAGTTCCCCGTCCTTTGACCTTGAATTTGACCTTGAAGTTTGACCTTGATGAAAATGGTTTTCAATGTGCGGCTAGAATTTTGCACGCGCTACATTTTGGTGCCAAAATTTTGAAAATCGGACAATATTTAGTGGCACTTTTTGAGTTCCCCGTCCTTTGACCTTGAATTTGACCTTGAAGGTCAAGGTTTAGGGGTGAATGGGTTCGATTTTCGTGATTCTCATGGTCCAATTGACCTTGGACGAGGTTTTGGCTAAAATCGGTGCTCGTCGCTGGAAAAGTCGCTGGTGACGTAGCATTTTTAAAGTTCCCCGTTCTTTGACCTTGAATTTGACCTTGAAGTTTGACCTTAATGAAAATGGTTTTCGATGTGCGGCTAGAACTTTGCACGCGCTACATTTTGGTGCCAAAATTTTGAAGATCGGACAATATTTAGTGGCACTTTTTCAGTTCCCCGTCCTTTGACCTTGAATTTGACCTTGAAGTTTGACCTTGATGAAAATGGTTTTCGATGTGCGGGTAGAACTTTGCACGCGCTACATTTTGGTGCAAAAATTTTGAAAATCGGACAATATTTAGTGGCACTTTTTCAGTTCCCCGTCCTTTGACCTTGAATTTGACCTTGAAGGTCAAGGTTTATGGGTGAATGGGTTCGATTTTCGTGATCCTCATGGTCCAATTGACCTTGGACGAGGTTTTGGCTAAAATCGGTGCTCGTCGCTGGAAAAGTCGCTGGTGACGTAGCATTTTTAAAGTTCCCCGTTCTTTGACCTTGAATTTGACCTTGAAGTTTGACCTTGATGAAAATGGTTTTCGATGTGCGGCTAGAACTTTGCACGCGCTACATTTTGGTGCCAAAATTTTGAAGATCGGACAATATTTAGTGGCACTTTTTCAGTTCCCCGTCCTTTGACCTTGAATTTGACCTTGAAGTTTGACCTTGATGAAAATGGTTTTCGATGTGCGGCTAGAACTTTGCACGCGCTACATTTTGGTGCCAAAATTTTGAATATCGGACAATATTTAGTGGCACTTTTTCAGTTCCCCGTCCTTTGACCTTGAATTTGACCTTGAAGTGTGACCTTGATGAAAATGGTTTTCGATGTGCGGCTAGAACTTAGCACGCGCTACATTTTGGTGCCAAAATTTTGAAAATCGGACAATATTTAGTGGCACTTTTTCAGTTCCCCGTCCTTTGACCTTGAATTTGACCTTGAAGGTCAAGGTTTAGGGGTGAATGGGTTCGATTTTCGTGATCCTCATGGTCCAATTGACCTTGGACGAGGTTTTGGCTAAAATCGGTGCTCGTCGCTGGAAAAGTCGCTGGCGACGTCGCCAACTTCACGGACATCTGGATAAGTGGATATTGGACAGACTTGCCGCTGCAGCTGGGTTGACTACTGAACAGTGGACACCTTGCCGAACAGACCTGCCGCGGGGTTGGAAGCGGCACTGGACACGGCACGGTACTGGACACCGCAGTCCGCACGACGCTGAACGCTCGACCGACTGGACAGGGCGGCCGGACAGGCACCAGCCCCGACCGCAGAGGCCGAGCTGTTGCGTCATCCGGCACCTGAATGCTGAAGTGCAGAGAAGTGGTGCTGATCTGACTGGCAGATTGAATGGAGCAGCGATGGCCGAGGCCGATACAGCTCCGCACGGATCTACCGACTGACGTTGGAGGTGCAGACTGGAGACTGGAGGTGCAGACTCGCCGAGGAATGGAAGTCGCAGTGGAGCGTCTAGGAACTCGGCCGGACAGGGGCTTTTCTATGGAATCTCATTAATTGGCCGATGATACATTCTATGAAATCGAGAACGTGCATACGATGAACTGCCTGTCAGTGGCTCTACGTATATGCAATAAATCGAATATCGGTCCAAAGACGATCAAATAGGTCATGGGAGATCGGTAGTAGCACTGTAGGCTGTTTTCGTTACGTCTTCGTTCAGCAATGCAAAGAAACAGGGTCAATGGCGGTAATTACGTTTTAAAGCCTTTAGGTGACTTTGACGGAACTCCAGCACAACGCTTGTGGTCGTAAGGTGGTTGAGTTGTTTTGCTAGAAACGTAGACAATCATATGTGAGCCTTTCTAGAGTTACCTCGTTGCACTGCGCCTAAAACTAAAAAGTGGTGAGGCTATTGACGGTGCTGTGCCCGTTGTTTGGGCCGTATGTGCCCGCCGGGGACCGCCAGCCGAGACCGATGTCGGACGGATGGTGTGATCTCGGTCACATGGCCTTGCCTCCGATGAAAGGTGACAGATCTCCCAGCAGGGCGTGTCAGTCCGACACCCGCGCTGACAGACACGCTCTCGGCGTCCGATTGATGCGGCAGAGACGAAACAGGGGAAATAAACACTGCTAGCCTACGATATACAGGGGTGGACGCCCGACACAGCGTCTGGCCACCAGTGAGTGGATAATTATTTTGAAGTGAAATAAATCACTTGGACGAGCCTGATCTGGGCACGCCGCACGGTATCTGGCCGGTGGACATGGGGCAAAGCATTCTTCCGGAAGTACACGACGTTGATCCGTAATTTATACCGCGCGTGCTTTGCATCATTTCTCTCTACCGTCATTTTGATTTGAAACCAAAGACGTGCGCACTGCGCATGCAACAGAGGACCGTTTTGAAAATGTTATAACAGAAGGCAGGTCCTTCTTTGGCCGTTGCGGTCATCTGCAGCCATATAACCTGAACTGTCACATACCTACAACGGTCCGGCGCGGACCCGTTGTGTCGGCCTGTCACGGCTCTGCCGTCACTACCACCAGTGGAAGTGAGCCCAACGCTGTCAGAATTGACACCTCGGCCGTCACGTCAGTAAACAGAGTAGTTACATTACGTTACTGCAGACCACCCGCGCCAACAGCTCAACCAGCTTCGGTAACCGAGACGATGTTACCCGGGGATGTAAAATGCGTGCTTTGAGGTGCATTGCAATTATAATACATCTAACATGTGATATTAGAAAGTGTGTGCATTCCTGTACGTTATCACTTATCAGCCTTATTGCAGGTTAACGGAAGTTGTCCATTTCGGAACTTCTTACCTTGAAACTCAATCCTGTATCCGATGGACCACCGTTGTCGGCCTCGGCTCTTGCCTACGTGGTCTCGGCTGACCAGAAGACCCACCACGTGACGAGTTGAGTTACACTGGAACCAACTCACTTCCGGTCCCACTCCGTCGCGATCTCTCGGCAGCGCACACGTCTACTAGTCCACCAACTCACGTCCACAGCACGCGGTACTACCTACTCGAGAAGCCGGCGTGGTGCGTCGAGCGGTGGCGTGCGCCGGCCGCCCCGCCGTGTTCGCCTAGACGGTTTACACGAATGCATTCGTGTAAACCGCCGTGTCGCCACATTCGAATGTGGCGACGGGCCCCACCGCGTGGAGCGCGCGTCGTCAGGGGCGGCAGCAGACGAGGGGCCTGAGAGGTCGGGACTCGGGAGGCGGAACTAATTTAATAACGTGCTTATTTTTCGCTAGATTCCATAGAATTACAGAGGGGAAGTCGCTTATGCACATTGCACAGTAGCCGCGATATTAGCCGGGTTTGATGTGGCGTCCCTTGTTCTTCGACACTGACGTCGCCACTGGTCTGACAGTCACAAACTGGGCCGAATGGATATGAGCTAACATCAGCGGCCGAGGGCAGTCTGGTTCAGTCGCAGGACACGCGATATCCCGGATGGGCACCTCGCGAATGGAGTACCTACCTACTGGCCCTGACTAGCCGGAGACGACAACTCAGAACTACGTAGTCGGTAATCTAAGACCTGTGAGACTACAGCCTCAGCCGGTGAAATCAACCGCTAAAACGTACCTAAAGTAGTTGAAAGGTATCTTGGCTAAAAACGTATCACTAGACACTAAAACTGCGCTGGTGGAATGGTCAAAGTTGAAAAGGTTGGCACTGACAGAACACACACTGTTTGGACTGGCCATAAGTCAGACCGAAGGCCGCCTGCACTGTTTTTGTTTATTTTAATGTCAAACGCGAGGATGGGATTGGACGTCTGGGGCCTGGAGGAACGACGTCCAAGCATGACGAGGCCTCTGCAATTGTCTCTGCTTCCCTGTGAGCCAATGTCGTTCTTTCAGTTGCTCTTTCCGAATGAGAGGCATTATCGCTCTATGTCACTGGCAATGTGAGTGTGGCGTAAAAATAGCGAGTAATTATGACATTTATGTAGGTATCGATGCATTTATGCTTTTTTGCAAGTTCCATTGTCGTACTTCTTATTTTGTCTGAAAGATGTGATACAAATTCAATTATTTTTATTTTCCTTTAAAAAATAAACACATTACGAACGAATCATGCCGATCACGAGTCCGCGTCACGAGCGATATGAGACGTTTCCTGAAAAATCTACCCGAAAAGCGAGATAAAGCGTTAAAAAGTCGCAGCACAGCAGACATACCTACATATTGCATACGAATACAAAGTAATCGACAAAGCTGTGTAAAGGCAGCCCGACAAAGGAAAACACAAATGCCTTCATTTCTAAACCGAACACAAACCTATGAACTCATCATAACGGTCTGTGGCGTCGCGTTTAGCTCAACTGAGTGAAGTGAACATTGCAAAGTTGACTACAGAATGATGTTCCACTCTTCAGAAGCCATCAGTTTACTTGAACGCTAAGTTGTTCCGCTTATTTTGCAGTTCAGCGTATAAATGGTGAGCGTTGGGTCACAGCATCAAACTGTGTCACGCAGCCCGTGTGATGCGGTACAGCCTATCACTCCAGGCAACTGATTGCCTGTGGAAAGTGGGACATCATTTTGCAGTCAACTGTACAACGTAGCTATAGGCCATAGGCGACGGAACGGGGGAGGGGGGGGGGGGCACCGGGGCACCGTGCCCCCTTCGATTTTGACATTTTAACATAAGCTCTATGGGCGCTGCATGGAAAGAATGGGACCAAAAGTCGACGGTGCCCCCCCCCCTCCCCCTTAATTGAAGGTGTTCCGCCGCTACTGCTATAGGCAATAGGCATGCCAGTACATTACAACAATGAGGCTGGGTTCGAACTTTGGGTTGTTTTGCTTCATTCACACTGTGTACACTCATCAAGACTGCCGTTTTGGTGTCGGAACCATTTGTGACATTCAGAAGCGTTAATCATTTTGTGCCAACATTATCGCCCATTGCGAGCACATATTACGGACAACGGTCGTCGGTCAACGCACATGGAAGTTAAGAATAGTTAACACCACACGATCTACAAAGGTGGTCCAGTTAAAGACACATTGCTAACCCTTAAACGGGCCTAGGTATTCTTAGCCTAAGGACGTAATCAGCAACAATGAATGATGCAGCGCTCGAGTCAAATAGGTAATACCGATACGATCAGCCTATAACGTCAAAAAAAAACGCAGAAAACTGTTTGTATGCACATGACACAAGACCCAGGCGACGACAGAAATTGACAGGACGATCATTGGGTAAGTTACGGGCCGAGTGAGCGGTAGATCGTACCTACAACCCTTGAATTTTGCACCGAAAAGCGCACATATTTCAATGATCAGCAAAACGTTTAAAGTGGAGCGGGGCAAATGCTGGCAATGACGATCCTAAACAACTGATCGTGTGGGGTGGGAGGCCAATTTCGATTCAATTTTATTTAACCATAATTTGGCCAAAGCTCCATTTTAAATAATTGTTTTGAAGTCGAAATAGTTCAGCGTCTATCGGTTGCCAGCGACAGATAACTTCCTTGCAATTCTTAGGCATTGACCTTTAACCTTACTGCGGTAACAAACGTCGTGCATACCAAAATTACAATAGGTACCTATCCATCATTTTATAGTATCTTCTGTTTAAAGAAATATTACAAAAATAAAACTTTTCAACGTTTTAGCCGAGTTATATAAAAATGAGATTGACCTATTAGCGAAAAATAATTGAATCCATCGCATGCATTCCTCGGTCGGACCGCCCATTCACTATGCGAAAGGTGCACCAATCGCAAGGTCACACGAGGCTCTGCGTCCAAATTCCGTCCTGGGCAGGGCCCTGAACAGCAGCTCGTACGGCGAGCGGAGCGCCTCGCCGGTGACGTCACGGCCCGGTCCAGGCGATCGCGCCGCCCACCGCAGGAGCCCGCGGCGCGACAGAGCGCCCGTCCGTCCGCGCTGGCTCTGCTCGTCTCCCCTCCTGCACTGTCCATCGTCACCTCCCCGCCCCCGCGCCTGCAAGTCCATAAATAACAAACGACGGGACCAGCGCTCCCGCAGCATGGCTCTGGTCCTACTCCTGTTAGAGCCAGACTATACATATAGCCTCCAGTTCACACTCCGAGCCAGCAGCACATAATGTCCGCCACGGCTCGGCCAAACTTCTGAATGGTCGGCTTGCTCTCTTTCTCTCCCCTCTCGAACTCCTCTCTCCAGCCGAATGAGTCGAGTTTCCTCATCTTGGTCGAGCCGTGACCGACCAGCGGGTCCCTCATTTCCGGCTCCGTCTCGCCGGCGTACCGCACCAGACGACCGTTGGGCACGGACGCCGATGCCGGCTGCTGGTTGATGATCCGCTCGCGGTCAACCTTCAGCGTGCTGTCGTTGAAAATGTCAGTCGGGGGCGCCTCCTCTGCGGGTGCTGACGGGGCCATCGGCGGGCTGGCCGGAGGGGCGCTCACCGGACTGGTTGGGGGAGAGGTCACCGGACTGGCCGTAGTAGCGGTCACTGGACTCGTCGGCGGGGCGGTCACTGGGCTGACCGGCTCCGAAATGGTCTCCGCTGTCGGAGGAGGTCTCACAGCCGCGCGGAAGTCAGGCGCGTCGGTTCCGGCGGATCGAGAGCCGGGCGGCGTCGGCGGACAGCTGGGCAGCGAGAGCGACTTCTCGGCCATCGCCGGCGCTCGCGCGGTGCCCGTCGCCGTTGACCGTTTGACGCGCGTCGTGTCGGTGCCGGCAGAGTGATCGGCGCGCGTGTAATCGTCGAGCAGGTCGCGGAGTGAGCTGGAGCTGGGCTGGCTGTGGCCGCCGCGGTTGCTGGACACCTGCAGGCGGATGATCTGGACGCCCGGCGGCACGATCACCTGCTCGGCGTCGTCGTTGACGACGACCGTCTCGATGCCGTCGGGCACCTGCATGGCGTCGTTGTCGGTGTCGGTGCGCACGGTGAACGTGGTCTCCATGGCGGACATGGCTGCTCGGGGCTCAGTGCAGACCGAGGCTACCACAGGACTGCCGCCGACTATGGCAGCGCTGCTCGTTGCACAAGGCACAGCGCCTGCCGCAGCTACAGCAGGGCAGCTCACTGTCAGCTACCGTGAGACTGTGGGCCAGAGGACGAGATCAGGTCAGCAACGGGGGCGATCACATTGACGCCCTTTTAAATCCGGAAACATATAAAAAACGGCTTATCTGAAGGTCTAAGACTGACTTACAAATTGACGAGCTTACTGGATTTACGTCTGTGTATGTAGGTACGAAACGTAAGTCGGGGTAAAATGCATTTAGCATGAATATATTCAAATATAGGCATAGGTATTCGTTTCTGCAATGTGGAAACTTGTTTCTGTTCGAGTTCCTTTCGGTTTTCGACACTCGCCGTTGTCGGCTAACACGTATTCATTTAGTGCCAGGAGGATGTCGGTCGGGTCCTCTCTGTGGCAAGTGGCGACTCGGATCACAGTCGTATGACAGCTGAAGGTTTCGGTCTCGAGCTGCTCGCCACAGCACGGCTACAAATGGGACGCAAGTGGGGTGAATGGCCACATGGCCGTGCCCTGCCGGCTAGACGGGACTGAGAGAACAGAACGCCAAAACTCCAACCATTTTACGAGTGCCACTTTTTCCTTCGGCCGCACTGGCGCCGCTCTGGTTCAGCCTGCACCGCGCCCTGCCGTATCATGGTGAATGGTTCAGTGTGCACTGTGCACCGTGCATCCCTTCCAGAACCGGTTTTAAACCGCGATACACTCCATTGTGGGGCTTGGTCCACCGGGAAACTGGCCGCTCGAATTCAGCCTGCAGTAGTCGCACATATGGACAGACACGCGTGTGTGACAGTGTCAGGCGAGGGGTGGCAAGCCGTCAATATACCCTGGGCAAGCCGTCTCCTTGATCTCGCACTTTGGGACTAAAGGTCAAGTGGTATTTATGACATTCAAGGTAGGTAGAACGTGGCGGACTGTGTGTTTCTTTTGGATGTCATGGTTTATATGAAATGTTCCGGAAGGTAAAAGATGCGTGTGAATAGGATAAGGCTGACAAAAGATAATGATAATTCATGTTTTAACTTATCTTCTTAGAAGACCTTCGCGTGTTTAGAACGATGAATGAAGCATTTGTAAATTTTGAATACCTAATTTTTATTTACTGCCTACGCATAAAAGATGCCTACCTATATTTTCACCTTCAATCTTAATGGTTTCTTTTCTTATAAGAACAAAGATAAGATATATCATATCTATAAATTATAATTATAATATAAGATCTGACAATCATCCATCTATAAATCCATAGATATAGCATAGTGTAATAAATAACTATGGATTATAAATATGGATAATAACTATGGATAACTATGGTTATTTATTACACTATGGATATAGGTAGGTATGTGTAGGCCGCCGGGGATAACCGTCTTAGCCGACGCAGGTATATGCAAGACGCCCCATGCTAGTATTTATGATTCAATCAGTTACCTACCTACTTTGAGCAAATATCAAACTCAGTAAACAAGTCAAGTTCATCCCCCTCATAAGTTATATATTGTGGATTGGATGCTCAAAGTTCGTCGATTCATCAGATATTTCGCTACATAGGATTGTCCTTGGGATTGTTGCAAAATTCCCAGGCCGCCGTGCCGTCTCCGCCCTAGGGCAGACGGCCCTTCCCACTTCCCAGTTCCCCTCTGATCGGCTTGGTCCATTGTCGTCCCGAAGCCCCCGCATGCAATACTGATGTCTGTGGCCACTGAGGTTTCCCAGAGCTACATTCCGCTTGTATGGAACAATCAGCAAGTCATGGGAGTAGGAAGTCCAGAAAAGTGGTGGGAAAATAATTTGCAGCACCTTTAAGTCTAAAGGTGATTTTATTGTAACCCAATCTCTTGCCTTTGCCCTTTTATGAAAACAGCATAGGTAACATTTATGGATTTTGTGCTTTATTGCGGAGGAGGAGGAGGAGGGGGGGGGGACGCGGGATTGTCCTTCGACTATCGCATGAGCAGCACCACTCGCCACCATGATGTCATTTGTATACATTTATGCAAAGCATGGCTGGATCATGCACAGTTTATTTAATCCGTGGCTGGACACTGTCCGCGGTGAACACTCCGGAACGGAGGCGCCGGATGTATGACGTCACAGCTCACAAACGTGTGACGTCATAGGCGGTGCTCAGCACATACCGATGAGGTGACGTGAGTCGTGATCGGGCAGTGATATGGCGGGTCGGTGCTAAACGGCAAAAAGAGAGCCTTCGAATGGTATAAGCTTTATAGGCGAAAGTTCTGTGCAGTGTAGGATGTAATAAATACAAGGACTACGCGTCGAAAATGAGTCGTATAGGTTTTTGGTCAGGAAAGTTCATGGTGAGAAAGTCCATGACTGACGGTACATTACTAAAGGTAGGTAAAGTAAAAGCGCTACCATTTATGCATATCAGGCTTTTATGTATCAGTACGTATGCTCGTATCGGCCTCTAACCACTGATTAATGTTCTTGAGACAAAGACTTGAACAGAACAGCTTATTGACTGGACTGGCGGGGGCGCGGGAACTACTTTCAGACGGGGGGGGGCATACCATTAGAAATCAACCTATGGTACCCCAAAATCTAGTTTTCATACCGGATTTAGGCCACTTATTTTTCCTCCCATGGCCTTTTCAACAAAAAAAGAAAACGTTTGCAAACAAATGCGATATTCCGTCTCAAAGTTGTGGGGGCACCGCCCCCCCCCCCGGCCCTAGAGTTGGGGGGGGGGACAAGCTGCCCCCACTGTCACCCCTCCCCCCCCCCGGTTCCCGCGCCTATGTGGACTGGGACATGACTTGACTTTGGTAAACCGATAAGAAAGCCACGAATAGCCAGATAGTTTATAATCGATCGTTTAGGCATGGGTAAGCACAGGTGAACACTGAACATGCTATATGCATGTCTACCCCGGGTCTGATTGCCGACAACATTTAATGTAGGGGAGAGTGGGGTAAGATGCCCAGGGTGGGAAAGACGCCCCACCCCCTCTAAGCGACGAAACAAAGAATCGAACCTGGAAATTAATGTTCTTAGCGTAAAGCGGAAGCCTGCCTTGTTAACTGCACAAAAATTTGCGAAGCTCATTTGGGCAACGGCTGGCTGGTGATTGCATATTTTTTATTTGCTGCTTTCAAAAAATATTTTGGTGTCAAAACATTGTAAATATCAAAGAAGGTAGATAATTTTTGCGTCCCTTGCTATAGTCATGATACATTAACATGCGTGTACTGTGCCCCAAACAGTTTGTTTCAGGGTGTAGTTTTATGGCTAACAAATTGTACTGATTTAATGTTACTTCGGTACCTTGGGGTAAGATGCCCCCTGTCCTGATGGGGAAAGACGCCCCCTAAATCCGTAGGCTGTCCTTCAAGCAGCCCGTCAAATCATTTATTACATACCTACTTGTGATGAGAGACAAAAGCCGATCTGGGACTATTGAGAGGCCAGTACGGTCGGGTGCTCCCCATGCCGGTCTCTCGGCCCACACAGCGACTTTTTGGCCGGCATCTGACTCTGAGAGCCCTCACGACGGCCTCTGTGGGCCCCATTATTGACTCCAGGGCCCCTCACGACATTCTTTGAGGGCTGCCACGTTGGCTCCACGGGCCGCGCTGGCATCTGAGGTCCCCACGATGGGCTCGAGGGCCCTCAAGCATCATGAAGACCTATAACGGCCCCACAGTGGTCTCCGAACGCCACCACGGAGGCTTGTTTGGCCGCTCTGGACTATGATGGCCCTAACGATGACCTCTGAAGCCCCTTACGACTACTTTTGAGGGCCCTTACGATGACGTTTGGTGTCTACTGCAGGCTCGAAGGGACTACTGATTCGTTCAGGCGATTCACGTGCCCATTTATGTCACTTATAGTGCAGGGGGGCATCTTCCCCAACGCCAGGGGGCGTCTTTCCCACCCTGTGGGGTAAGATGCCCCCTTTCACTTCTTCAGGAAAATGCTTAATTAACCCTAGAACGCCTAGGGGGGGGTTGTATCAACCCCCCCCCCCTGAGGTTTTTTCGAAGTGCACGCTAAACGGCTTGTCGTAGCGGGCTGAAATTTTCAATACCCTCTGGGGCAACCTTTGCGCATCTTTTGCCGAAAAAAAATTGATCGGGTCATGTCAGGTCACGGAGTTATGACGTCATAAGAGGTACAGCCTCCGGCCGGATTTTCACAAACTGAGTGCCAACGCCCGAGGTTTCCTGCCGGTGGTACGGACATCGGTTGATGGATCGTGATGAAACTTCCCATGCATGTTGGGGCAAGTATTGGCTATCATATGGTATAAGAAATTTGACCGGGTCAGGTCAGGTCACGGAGCTATGACGTCACAAGAGGAACAGCGTCCGGTACTATTTTTGAAAAGCGCCCGAACCACTATTTTGCTAATTCTTGTCACCTCAATGGGAATATGCAGCAATATTAGCTTCAATAGGGAGCAAATGGACCTCCCAAATCCAAAAATACAATCAGATTTCAAAAATTTAAATTTTGATTTTTCGAATTTCTGCCGCCGACTGTGACCTTGCCGACTTCCGGCGCTCCCAACGCGCCATTTTTAGAGCTAGGGAAACGAAATACATACCAAACGATAGAGAATTGATCAAGGAACACGATAGTGAAGGTTTCAAGTCGATATCTCCCACCGTTTTGCCGCAATCGCCGCCGAAAGTTGAAAAAAAAGTCTATTTTTCCGAACATTTGACCTTTGACCGGTCAAAAGTAGGTCAAATGTTGACCTAGGACCAAAAAATATACCACCAATCGCGAGATCTCGTTGAGAGCAATCTGTTGGTTTTTTTCCGCTAAGCTCTACGACCTTCCGTTTCGAAACGCCAGGGGGGGGGGTCGTAACAACCCCCCCCCCCCCCTGGCCGTTCGTGTTATGAGAAATGGCCTGGTCGTGCGAGGGTTAATAGCAAAAAAAGTTATCATATTTCAGGCACGAAAGTGTGATATTTTTGGAGAAAAATGATGTTGGCTTCCGTTGAAACTCGAAGTTTTTGCTTTCCGATCGTCATTTTCGAATAATATATGACATAGTAAAACCCTGGGCATCTTTCCCCACTCTCCCCTAATTGTAAAAAAAATGTAATTATACCTATGTGTTTCATTCAGTCGGCTTCCGCTATTCCACCCAGCGTATGTACCTAACTAAATTATTCTAGCCTAGAAACCTAATTCGTGAGAAGTGGACTGCACTAAGTTAATTCAATTATCATCTCGGCAGATGAGAACTCGGTTTTACGGGGGCCGTACCATGCAATTACGAAGTAGTTACTTTCATGTGGCCGGACATATTTGGGACTTGACTTCGGTGAGAAAAGTAGGCATGGTAAAAGTTGCGACATATAACCTACATCTAACGCCTAAAAGACAAAAGTATTGAGTAATAACTACCTACTGATTGAACCTAGCGATATAAGTCGCGACTTTGTACACTCTAAAAATTGTAAGATGTAGCAACCGAAAGCATGTGCCTATTAGGTACTCAAAATTATACGTGACATATGCCGGCGCCCAGCGCATGGTTCTCCCTCCAAGATTCAAACGTTGCCTTCCGCCATTGATGCCGTCTGTGCACTTGTGGGTGCACCATTTCTTCTATGAGTCTCATTTCATCTTCAATGAAGCCTGAGAATGCCCGCTGGAGGAGACTCGGTAGTTGACATCTCAGGCCAGTCACACAATCAAGCCAATGTGAGTTTAACTCGCTCAAATGTGCTGACCTTGTGCCCCAGTCACCGCGATAACTTATCACGGTCGGTGCCCGCTTTGGGCACGTTCCTTGGCCACTCAGCTACTCCGTCTAGTAGTTGCTCAAAGAGGTCACATTGGCGGTGCAGTCGCGCCCAGCCAGGCGGTATCAATGTCCGTGTGACAGTGCTCCCCGTCGGACGGAAACCCGGAGTCGGACGGGATACCTTTCCTACTGAGTTGCAGTCTCCGAGACTAGTGACGGGCGTGGCGCGCGACTCCCACGTGTTTGAGGTGTGTCAGCTGTAGCTCCCTTTATGCGGACCCTTTATGGGTGAGGTTACATCGAGTCTATCATAACTTGTAATGGGGCCACCTTATATATGTAGGCATAGCTTGGTAAGTTTGTAACAAAGGTAATTGTTATAACCGAGTACCTTCGTCTTTGTTCAAATCCCTGTAACTAACAGCTTAGTTATGATGGCGAGGACTAAAACATGGTTTCTACTCACAACACGCGATTAATCGGCGGCTTTCTTACAGTATCACAAAACATGACCTCCTCGCCACGCACAGAGGCGCACTCAACAGTATCACAAAACATGACCTCCTCGCCACGCCCAGAGTGCGCAACCAACAGCCGTCGTCGCCAGAACACTCACCTGAAATGTATCACGCTCCAGCTTCGACCGACTCCAGACTCTGGCACGCCCGCTCCGCGCCAGTGGCCGGTGCCGCACAGTTTCCCCTAGTCGGCAGCTGCACAGCGTCCCTCACAGTCTGCCGCGGTCGCCGCCGCCGACACCGCGCTGTCCCTCTCCCCTCCCTCCCCAGCGGAGCAGGGGCCTGTGCAGGACCGAGTTTCGCGCGGCCGCCGCCGTATCACCGCGGTCTTTGGGTAGGTATAACTCATACCTGTGCGAGCCGATTCTGGCTGGAGCGACTGTTTGCTCCGGTGCCGTGCGCCCGCTGACACGACAAACATGAGGGTGCGTGAAAGCCTGCGTTTCACCCACATGAACCATGTTGATATGCATGTAATTAGGTACATATCTGAGGTCATCGAGGCCACGATATCAGATCCATCGCGAATACACCGCACTTGCTTAGCCTTGGCAGTCGTTAGTTGAAATCTGTAGCAAATTTACCTCAGGTTCGCGAATAGCCATCTTTTCCGCGCATGTAAAAATTTCAAACCTGCAGGTCCTTGAATGTCAGGTCACCAGGTCACTTCAAGAAACCGTGTCTCAGGAAAAGTTATAATGCTCGCCATAGCTACACCGAACGTACGATCGTTTTGGAACGTCAGCGATCGAAAAGAGTAGCAGAAGGTAGGCATAAAACGTATATATCGGAATTCTTATATCGTCGGCCTATATCGTTAGATAACCCTTGCAATAAAATTAAAAAAAAAACAGGTCAATTATGCGACCTCTCCGTTGTAAGTCAATGGGAGAAAATTGAACTGTGCGTGTTTCGGACAACTCTCAAACTTGAAACTACAAACTCTGAAACGGCGGGATACAGCGAATGACGGCGGGAAACATGACACACTGAATCGGGAAATTGCACCCGTGACCCGTTTTATGCCACTGAGGTAACCTTAGCTCACGAAACGTCTTCAACAGTTTTATTATGATAACTTTAGATAGAAACATGTTAGACCAGGTCGGGTCAGGTCAGGTCAACCGGTAGGGGTCGTGACCGGTATTCGTAGTAGGTGGCAACCGCCTCTGACAGCGTCGTAACACGTTACGAAGGTACCAAAACTACTCCGTAGATGTTCAAAGGAAAAATAAATTCAAAAATAAAACTCAAAAACAAATTCAAAATTAAATAAAAAATAATAAAAAATAAAAGAAAAGAATAAATCAAAAACAATTATTATAAAATAATAATATGATAAAATAAGATTTAAAAATAAATTCGAATTCAGTTCTAAAAAACTAGCCTAGAAACATGTAAAGCTCGAAAAAGTGAACCGAGGTCATCAAAGGTCAATAACCTGAACTGACCTTCGGCTGACCTTGACACCCACCCTAATGCATAGGGCCAACATCGTAACACATGTTTGAACGATTGAAACTACGAAAAGACTGCAAACGCGCGGCTAATGCGAGCAGACATACATATGCCGAATCGCGATTCTGGCCAAACATGCCCAGTAAACATGCCGACGTCGGCCCGACGTCGGCTGACGTCGGGGTGACGTCGGCAACTCGGCATCGACATGCCGACGTCGGCCCGACGTCGGTCCAACCTCGGCACGACGTCGGCTGGATGTCGGATATGCCCGCATGTTCCGACGTCCAGCCGAGGTCCAGCCGACGTCGGGCCGACGTCGGACCGAGATCAATTGCTGAGGTCCAGCCGACGTCGGGCCGACGTCGGGGCGACGTCGGACCGACATCGGCCGCTGTTTTGACCGTTAAAATAATATAAAATGCATGTTTCATGTTTCATAAAGAGCTTCTGTATTCAAAATATCCTCAGGAAACTCTTGAAACTTTTTTGAAGGTGGGAGGGTCCCTTTAAATGAAAAAAGGTACCTTATCTTCCTCCACGCCGCAACCCCCTGATCCGGACTGGGCGGGAAACTTTATCCCATTTGGAATTGCCCGTAAGCCGAGCTCGCCCGTAGCCGGGTGCGGTGAGTGCTTGGGGGCTGCTCGGCCTATCCTTTGGTCAGGCTCAGCCCCGGCAACTCACCAGGGCCGGGCCCAGTTCATATAGAAAGGCCAGTCGGCAAGTGTCACTTTGCCAAAGTGCCACTTATCAAAGGGACACTTTGGGAAACGTTGGTGCAGGTGTGTAAGAGTGGCTATATGAATCCATTGTGGGATCGCCCTTTCCAATAAGTGTCACGTACCAGCAATGGGACAGGGACTCATATGAACTGGACCCAGGGTGCTCGCCAAGAAGACCAATGTCTCCATCCTATGATCCTTCCGGCTCTGAAATGGTCTTGTCAGACCGAAAGGGCATAACCCAACAAAACAAACCAGTTTCGTTATCCGGCTGCGTGGTGTAGTGGTTAGCGCACTAACCTCGCGTTCAAATGACACGGGGTTCGAATCCCATCGCCGGCTGATGCTTTTGGCGTGTTGTCCCAGTAAACATGCCGACGTCGGCGACTGGGCGGCTCGAATCCCGCCGCCGGTTGATATTTTTGGCGCGTTGTCCCAATAAACATGCCTACGTCGGCCCCGTCGGTCCAACGACAAACGATCTCGTCAACCTCGGCAAACGATCTCGGCCCGACGTCGGCTCGACGTCGGCTGGACTTCGGCTGGACGTCGGAACATGCGGGCATATCCGACGTCCAGCCGATGTCGGGCCGAGGTTGAACCGACGTTGGGCCTACGTCGGGCCGAGCCTCGGCCCGACGTCGGGCCGACGTCGTCATGTTTACTGGGTGGTCTCGAAAAGTAGGTCACAGGTCAAAGGCCACTTGGGTCAGGGTCATGAAATTTTTGGGATAGGTATAAAATTGATTAAAGGGACTATCCCACCTTTAACATGGGGTTTGAGTTGAGATAGCCAAGTTTGCGGCGAGGTTCAGAAACCACTATCTGTCTAGGTTGCAACCCCCGCGGCCTCTTGGTGTTGAAGAAATTCGTTCCCTTCATTTGAAAATGGGCCTTGTGCAAGGCCCTATCTTCAACATGGAGCGACCGTTAGTGTGACGTCACCTCGTTTAGTCGTTCTGATTTAAATGGGTTTGTTCGTTGAAAAATCGCTTAAAGGTAGTGTGCCAGCTTTCCTGGACCGTATGGAGTTAATGGCCCAGACAAGGAGAACCGGATTTTTAGAACTTATCCATACCTTCAAAACTCATGGAAACGTCTTAAATTCTTCAAATTTTGAGTACCCCAGTGCGAAATTCGCCCCGACGGGTTGTCGGTCGTACCCCAACCACATTTCACACCACTATGAACAATAAATGCACACACTGAAATCGCTATTACCGATATGCTCATCCAATCAAGTTTCGATAAACCCGTTCATCATCAGCTCCTGCGGTTTCGAACACGCCTGTTAGGTGGTGCGGTAGACCACGCCCAAAGCCAGGGCCCCGGTAACCTGAGGTAGCCGAGTCAGGGCAGCGTGCGCTGACCCAAGCCGGAGCCGCGCGTCCTCCCGGTGTCATGTGATAGCCCGGGGCTGCCCGCGGGGATGCGGTAGACCGCGCCCAAAGCTGCGGCCCCGGCTTGGGTCAGCGCACGCTGCCCCGACTCGGCTACCTCACGTTACCGGGGCCCTGGCTTTGGGCGCAGCTTCTGCTCATACTTTGTGGTGCGGTGGTGGTGCGTCGGGCTGCGCGCTCTGACTTCGGCCAAGAAAAATGCGTCAGCTGATCATTGTCATTTCTGCCACTTGCGTGTGGTGAAATGTGGTCATAACTTATGAGACGGCTTTTTCATATCAATTACCTATTTTACATAAAATCATATTTCAAACCATAAATAATGTTCGACAGCCAAATAAAAGAAACAATACCAATACGGGCTTACAGTTTCACCCCGCGTTCGATGTCTCCCGGACGGCGAAGATTCTATGCCGTCCGGGCCCAAAATGCCGTTCGATGTCGCACGGACGGCAAAGATTCTACGTGACGTCACGTAGAATCTTTGCCGTCCGCGCAGAATCTTTTGAGCGTACTACGGTGGGCAGAGAGGCAATGATGGCGCGTATTTCAAAAGCGGCGCAGCAGCTGTTTACAGAAGTTGTTGACATTTGTGCGTGGTCTCTATGGAAACGTAAACTTGGGCCTTTTTCGAAACTGACGCACATTGTGTAAGTGGCGCACAAAATGGCCGGTCTCGCCGTCCGACTGTGTGCTTCATCGAACGCAAAATAGCATGGGCGGCGCCACCGGGGGGGACGGGGGGGACAGGTCCCCCGCTATCGAAAGTTAGGGGGGTACAGTACCCCCCTATCGGCGAGGCCCGTTCAATAGTTGATAATAATGCATTATAGAGCTATCCGTCGCATTTAATGCATCGTTGGTTAATCAAGGCAGGTTCTGAATAAATATTGCTGTTGGGATGCATCGCAGGGGGTCCTGGCCATCTGCAAAAGGTGTGGAGCTGTGATGCCTGTAGTTATAAGGTGATCGGCAGGGCCTCGGGGATCGTGCCCCCTTTTTGGGGCGCCAGGCAGGGTTATTACTTATTACCTCCCCACCCCACTGCCAGACCCCATTGCCGATAAAACCAAGTTCACTGAAATTCCATAGATTTCCGTTACTATATGAAAATTTTCCATTCCTAATTAGTCAAATTCAAGCATGGCAGTTCTACCACAGGAACCATTTGAAATCTATGCCATTTAACCCCAGCACTTGTGGGGAGAAGTGTTCGGATAGATCACAGGCAGGACCAAAAAAGCACGCAGTAGCCCAAGACCTTATAATTGGATATAGCATCGGCTCCCTCTCGTCAAGGGGTTCGATAGCACTCGTTTTTTTCTGCAAAACTAAGTTCGGTCGGCGGCCGAACGGCTGGGGGTCTAATCGAGCCCCCCATCCCTCCTCTTCTTACGTCAGCGGCTGTGAAAATGCCATTACCAGCTGTTGAAACATGGCAGTTGCTTTTGCATGAGTGCACGAAAGGGTTTTAGGTACGTGATACGTGAAAGGTTCTACATGAAAATTGAGATACACCAGCTTATCAAATTGTGCTCACTGTGGTGCGCTCGGCTTTACCTTGACTAGTCTTTGAATTCTGGGGTGAAACAGACCAGTCAAGAAACCTGTTCCATAAGGAGAGCCACTAATGCTAAAGGGATGTGGGATGATGTTTCCAGAGACCTTCATTACCTCCCAAAGGGAGTGCCCCGCCATTTGCCAATCCCTGCTGTAGTTGTTACGATTGGAGGGTGAATATGAGAACGATGCAGGTCGCGCCAGCTCGATCATGACGAACACAATGGTGCCGACATCACAGCTCTACTGCCATTTTTGACGAAGTTAATCAACAAGCACCGGAATCCTACCCTGGGGCATTTCACCTGCAGAGGTCGCCGGACCTGAGACCCTTTCACTCATTTTTTTCAACGGTGCATGCGCTCGTTTTTCCCGCAAAGCTCTTGGCAAGTAAAATCAATCAGAAAGTGTGATCAAATAACGGCTGGTGACCTTCCATGACCTAGCATGGCCTTTTGAGTGACCACCGATGACATGACCACTGACGGCTAGCCATTAGCTGCACCCTGCCCGTTGCATATGGATCAGGTGGTGATGTCATGATTCTGAAATTATATTGCAATTTTGGCGCACTTGTCAGAGCAGAAGACATTCCCACTTTTCCTCCATGACTACATATATGATGGTGAAGCCCTGAAGCTGACCAGACGTAAGATCGAAAATTTGAAAGTACGAAACGTAAGAGTAGCTGGCACTGCTACTCATACCTAAGCAATTCGCAGCTTGTAGGAAACCAGCTTTGAGTTGGCAAGACTGCAAATTTTAATTTAGAGGCAAGGATGCTTGAAAAGGTGATCGATCTTAGGTGTCCTAGGATAAGTTTGGAAACGGGATGCACTATTCGATGTGTTTTGGGCCTTGCCAAGTTTCGCGGCGTTACGTGCCTCGTTTTTTTTTTGCATACACGATCAGTATCTACTTTTGGGATTTTCGATTTTCGGTCCCCGTCCCCCCCTATCGAAAACCCGTGGCGCCGCCCCTGCAAAATAGAATATTCTGCGTAGAATGTTCTTCGTCCGAGGAGACATCGAACGCGGCCTAAGGCTCGACATTGTGTTGTCTACGATTAGACAGCTGATAACTCATTCCCGTACGTCGTATGGTCGTAACACTATAATGACCTTTGCTTATTGTCACAAGTGCGCCGCATTCGCGATTGTTGCCGACGCCTGTTTGCAGGTGAGCCCACTACAGTTGTTATACATATCTAAAAACCGATAAACTTTTAGGCGAAAAAGGCACTATTCCAGGCCCATTTTTGATTTTTTTTTGCGATATAAGGTAAAAACAGAAGCTTCTTATCCTAGGAAAAATAAAATGGGAAATCTTTCAAAGGTGGCACACTACCTTTAAACTTGGTCTGAACTTTGTTGTGGTGCCTACAGAGTAAAAAGAATCAGCTTTATGACAGTAATGTGGCCTGGGGAAGGAGGTACTTTTGGGCTGTGACGTCACATATTTGAAAGTTTGTGTTTGGAATATGGGAAGCCTAAGATGTTTAATGAAAAATAAATGCCAGAACCGTGTTCCTGGTCATCCAATCTATAAAGTCGGGCACAATTTAACTGGTTTTAACAACATTTTAAAAGGTGGGATAGTCCCTTTAACGCGAGGGTACTGACAGTTTCGTTGCAATCGGCCGCTTTTTACGCGAGTTATTCGCGAAAAACCAAGGGGGGGGGGTCCGTTCGACCCCCTATACGGACGAGGGATAACGAGAGGTCCCACGCTGGAATTGACGAGGCCCGGAAATCAGGCTCACCATCAAGCCCCCCCCCCGTCCCCCTCACTCCCACTATTCGCTGGGCTCTCCCATAGCTGTTGCGTTGCCAGGTAAGTGCCGCACCAATTGTTGGTCATATCCCATCCGGTTACACACATTAGCCATACGCCAGTAACAATGTATTACCGACCTGGACGGTCAAAACGCTCCGCTGCACGGATCTAGGCTATTCTGTGTGCATTTTCTGGACATGTATGAAAATGAGATCAGTTCAAAGCCGATCGGATCTATTCTTTACATCTACACTACACTGTGGCAACAGTTGTACACTCAGCTTCTCCGCAGCAGAGCTGAAAGGCCACATACTACACGCTATGTGAGCATTACGAATCTCCGGACTACTGTACACAAGTGTGGCATTACTCATATGCCATATGCTTACCGCGTTGCAGTACCTCACATAGCTCCGCAAACACCGGGGTCCACTCTAATGCCAATTTACAAAATCCACACCAACATTCAACCAACAGACTCGCATCTTCACGCACGCAAAGGCGACAGTAAGACAAAAGTAAGACGGCAGCGGAAGACACGGACAGCGTGGACTGGGAATCTACAACCACTACATAAGCGCGGTAAAGGATACCGCATTGCTCGTAACTCCACGGGCGGTGTTCATTTATCAGGTAGCCGTGGGTTATGCGAACGACCACGGCTGATGTCCCACCGGTTATCGGTGGTCCGAGCCGTTAGCGTTCACAAAGTTAGAGCTCACCGTTAGAGCTCAACGTTAGAGCCCGCACCGTAATCAGAGTTCACAGATAAGAGTTCCCAGTCAGGGCTCACCGTTAGAGCCCGCGGCGTTAGAGTTCACTGTTAAAGCTCCCAGTTAGAGCTCCCGCCGCTGTCTTCTGGTCAACACGCGGCCCGGGGAGGCGGCGGCTCGCTTGGCCGACGGCGGCGCAACGCTGATGGAACAGAAAGGAGAGTCAGTCAATGAAGGGAAACATAGAGGGAGATATACATATAACATAGAGAATAGACAGCCAGACCTCAGGGAAGGGAGGGAAGGGAATAAGGAAAATATATACAGAAAGCCATACAGAGTCAGCCAGGGAAGGGAGCGCGGAAGACGAGCGGCAGGATGCAAGAATGATGCACAAGAAATAAACAGCCAAACAGACATACACAAACAGAAAGACATGTATACCCGCCGTGTATAAGGCATCTAGAAAGACAGACAGTCATCCCCAGTGCGCTGCAGCTCTCACCTGGGCGTGTTCGTCGACATTTCGGCGAGCCCGTGCGCTGCGCGACGGCCCGAGCCGGCCGGCCGACCGGCCTCGGGCGTCTGGTCGTCAGGCGAGCCGCGTCGTCTCCCAGCCCGGGACGCTCGCTCCGGGCTGCCGTCCGACGTTCGGTCGGTGGGGGCGCCCGCGCTGGACGCCCGCTCGGCAGGGGCGCCCGAGGTGGACGTCTCAGCTGTTACGGCCTCGGGAGGAGGTCCAGCGGCAGCTGCCGAGAGAGCGGCGCACAGTGGTCAGCAAACCCGCCGTAATCAGCACTGAGCACGCAAACTCACCGTTAATTCATAATTTTGTGAGAATGTGTGCTGCAAAAACTTTTCGGTTTATTGGTACATTCATATCATTTAGGAGCTAACATCGGCGACAAACGTTAACGCTATAAAACTAACGCTAACGTCATCGTAACTCCGGCCGAGTGCCGAGTTTCGGGAGCGCTGCTCACCTTTGTCCTGCTGTGATAGCGCCGCGCCCGGGTCCGGTTTGCCCTGTTTGACCAGCTGCAGCCGGGCGCGGTAGGCGTGCGCCGCGTTACAGTACTTGTCGCGCTCCTTGGTGAGCCGCTTCACCTGTCGCTCCAGCCGGCCCGCGTAGCCCTCCATCTCGGCCAGCATGAACGTCTTGACGATACCCGCCTCGCCTCTGGGCGGCCCCTCGGCGGCCGACGGGCCGGCCAGGCCCAGGCGGTCGGCGCGACCAACGGCCGCCGTCTCGTCCAGCTTGTTGGCGATCAGCTGCTGCTGCTCCTTCTTCAGCGCCTCCACCTCGGCGCGGGCGCGCTGCAGCTCCAGCTGTACCGACTACCGGACAGAGGGACGCTGAGTTACACACAGCACACAACAATAACTACAATTTGCCTGCCAACAGATTCAGATGATCTAAAAAAAAAATGAGTGTGAAAAGCGTGCGTCCAGCCGCTTAAAACTGAGTTGACAGAGAAAAGGCGAACCCATGCTTATGAAAAAAGACGCCCTGACGTTCAGCTAAAAGTCGACAGCAGACTTTGGCATATTGTTGTTGAAAAGTCAGACAGTGATTTAGTGCTTTGAGTATCCAATTGCAATCAGCCACCGGCATCACATCACAAGTATATTCAGAGCAGCATCCCATATCCAGCCGTCCCCTATCAGAATACCAGACCCAGTGTGACGCATATGACCACGCTCCGCCCCGTACCTGGAGCTGGCGCTTGCTGGGCAGATCGTGCAGCTCCAGGCGTCGCTCGGCATCCCTCCTGGCGCCCACGGCGGCCACCAGCTGCTGTTTCAGCTGCGACACCGACTCCTTGGGCTGGCCGCCCGCCTCCGGCGCCGCCGGCTGCTGCTCCTTCTCCATCTTTTCCACCACCAGCTGGCGGATCTCGCCCTGCAGCTGAGCCACCTCGGCGCGCAGTCCCGAGAGCTGGCTGTCCCGCTCGGACAGCTGCTCAGTGACCTGGGTGGGAGAGGCAGGGGCGGCGTCAGCACGGGGAAGGGGCGGCGCCAGGGCAGGTCAACAGTCTTATCAGCTTGGCCAGTCGCTCAGTGACCTGAGAGGGGCCAGAGACAGGTCAAAGCAGGTTCCACGAACGGGACAGGGACCAGCCAACAGAAGTCACAAGGCCCAGAGATCAAGCGACGTGTCCTGTACTCCCTCCTGCTTTCTTACGCACCGAAGTGGCACCTACTACGGCGCCGGGCGCTTGTGACTCACCTCTGCCAGCCTGGCCTTGCCCTCGTCCACCAGTTTGGAGAGCTCGTCCGTCTGCCGCCGGTAGCGGTCGAGCTGGGCGGCCGTCTCGGCCCGCTCCGCCTGTAGCGCCGCCGCCGAGTCGGTGCTGCGGCTCTCCAGCTGACGGCGCAGCTCCTTCAGCTGGGCGTCCCGTTCGGCCAGCTGGGCGTCCCGTTCGGCCAGCTGGGCGTCCCGCTCGGCTATCTGCTCCTCCCGCTGGTTACGCTCCTATAGCAACGGACGACGAGTAAGAGACAGCAGCACAGGATCATATAACAAATAAGCAGCGAGGTAGGTGTCGACATGATGATCCACGCTTTATCTCAGAAATCATTCATCATCTTTTTTGGTAGAATCAACGCAGATATAACCGTCTTCACCAAACTTGACAAAACCAAACCAAACTGACAAAGGTAATGTTTCTGCTTCCCCGAGAGGTTAAAAACAAGCCACAATGTCAGACAGTAAGAGCACGAGACGTGTAAACTACCGTGCGCTGATTATTGGAACTGTTCCTCCTACTCTCCCTGGGTACACTCAGTGAGCTTCAGCTGATGGCGGCCTCACCTCTTCGAGTTCGTCCTCACATTCGGCGATCATGCCGGTGAGCCGGTCGTACTCCTGCTGCTGCTGTTCCTCGAACTTCGCCTTCTGGGCGGTCAGCCGCGCGGCCGCCTCCGCCGTCTCGGTCTCCAGCCGGCGGCGGAGCTCGACAGCGGCCGCCTGTTCATTTAGCAGCTGATGGTCGCGCTCCGAGAGCTGCGAGCGCGCCTGACAGAAAAAAAAACAGCAGAAAGGTTAAAGAATCGTTCACAACAGTTAGGAATACAGAAAAAGTCGACCCACGAACGAATAGTCAACCAAGAAAAAAAGCAGCAGACACGCAAAAAATCTGAAAACAGCAGCATTGGTCAATGCCGGCATCCTTTTACGTCACATTTCCATGAATTCCTTATTCAGACTTTTCTAAAAGAATATATTCTTTCATTACTGTTTTATACGTATATGTAACATATATGTAACGCAAGTCAGGAGAACAGAATGATTTGCATATAAAAAGGCTAAGGGCAGTTTTATTGCGACGAATTTGCAGCTACAAAACTGACACCTCGTTTTGCACGTGGCACGTGCATAAGCCCGGGCACCGACGGGGGGGGGGGCGAATATCCGCCCCCTGAGGTTTTTCGTAAATAGCGGGAGAACCGCAACGCGTAGCGCCGCGAAATTTGGCATGACTATTCCCCAATCAATTTTACACATTGTGTGCAAGTTTCAACCCCTAGCTTTCAAGGTCAAGCCACCAGGTCACTTCGAATGACCTCAAATCACTTTTTGCAACTTTGTCACCGTGTCAGAGCTACAGTAGATGACGGAGTCCTAAAGTTGCAGGATGTAATGAGGTCAATAGTAGCAGCTGCAATTTGAGTATCTCGTAATTTTGATATCGATGACCTAAGGTCAGGGCAATTTCTTGACCTCCCCATTATAAGTCAATGGGGGGAAAATCAACTCCCTGTTTTCCACTGAAACGCGTCGGAATGGCTAATATACCATAAATGACTTCGGAATAGTTAATATACCATAAATGCACCAAAGGAGACTGCGCGCTTCTACCGAAAAGTGGCTACATAGGCTTCACCACCACATCTCTGTCCCGACGACTGACCCTGCATCTGCAGAGCGGCGGACCACAGCAGCACACCGAGACTGAGCACAACACCCGACTGACGCGACAAGAGATCGTGGCCAACACGTCCATCGTCGGAAGGGCTCGAGACCGCCGGCGTCTCGTCGCCCTCGAGGCCATCCTCATCAAGGAGAGAGACCCGGCCATAAATCGGCAGCTGAACGCTCGGGGTATTCTACAGCTATACGACGGGTGCCGCCTGACCACATAAGACGTGTGTCAGGCATAATAATCGGGTCATTTCTAGTGTGTGTGTACTTGTAGGTCATTTCTAGTTTATGTGTCTTTCATTATCGTGACTTTGAAATGTGTGTTTTATTTTATCACATTTAAGATGCGTGATTTAGTTTAGATATTATACATGTTAATGCCCGCTACTAAAAATACCTATGATAGCCATTCACGAGCGCGGTGATATAATTTCAAACTTCGTCGAGCGACCTAAAAATAATTTGACCTTTGTTCTTGAAAATGTATAGGGAATATACGAAACGCGTCGAACGATAAGGTCATTTAAATGTCATTTCTAAAAGTACTTATTATTATGAGCATCGGTAACATCTTATTTGAACATACCGAAGAACATAAAAAGATCGTTCGGCAGATTGAGTCACTCAACAGGAAGTTGATTAACAGGAAAGCTGCTGTAGCATTCAATGAGCACTGCTATAATAATAATCTGCTTCCATCTCACACATAAATGACTTCATATATCAACCATGACCACCTTGAGGCCTTTTGCCCTTGGGCAACTGTAAGGTCGTGTGACATCATCAAAGGTCACCAAAGTTTTTTTTTTTTTGCTAATAACTTACAAAAACGAGATACAGCCGCGCGGATGGCCTCATTATGTTCAGCTCGTCAAATCGCATCGAATGATATATGTACATAATGACCTTAAGGTCATGTGACCTGATGTCAACCTTTGACCTTGACCTTCCGAGGTCAACATTTATATGTTTCGATGCGGATCGACGAGAGGATCACGATGGACGATGGTGCTATTACTTATTGGTTTGTTGATTGTTCCTAGCTTGGATACTTCGAAAGTTATTCGAGAAAAACGCTCTTCAAATCTAGCGCCGCTATTTTGACTTTTTTGACCCCCGTGACGTCATCTTTGACCTGACCTGAAAAAGACCTCAGTAAAAATTGTAGACCTTGTCCGTGTGTCTGTGTACCCCATACCGTTTACCGCTTGTCGCTATCTTACTTCGTTCTCGAGATCTCAAGGGGGGGGGGGCGGACGGATATCCGCCCTTCCCCCGTCGGTTCTAAGTTGGCGCGGACCCCCGTCGGTGTGCGGGTTATAGGGTTCACCCATATGCATCGGGAATAGTCCAATACTTGGTTACGAGCGAGCAAAGTCTAACGTAAAAAGCAGAAATTTCTGAGTATGAGATTACTCAGAAATTTCTACTATTCTACGTAAAACATCGCTCACCTCGCTCGCTCGCTCGATGCTGGTGTTAGAACGCTCACACCATGGAATCGGGCAATGCCATCTCCGCAAACCAGCCGAAACCTTTCAACATTTAAAACCTGATACGATAGGCAGAAGCATGCAAAGGTAGATAGAAAAGAGGATCGCGGCGGTAGTGGGTACGGGATAGGAGCCCTAGGTTAGGCGAAGCCAATTGTGGGCACCTACTTTAAGCAGTAAATTAGTACGTATGTAAGTGAAGCCAATAAGTTAGTGAGGTGACCAATTATGTGACCTGTGGGCTATGAGTTGTGACCCACCTCTGCCAGCCTAGCCTTGCCCTCGTCCACCAGTTTGGAGAACTCGTCCGTCTGCCGCCGGTAGCGGTCGAGCTGGGCGGCCGTCTCGGCCCGCTCCGCCTGTAGCGCCGCTGCCGAGTCGATGCTGCGGCTCTCCAGCTGCCGGCGCAGCTCCTTCAGCTGCGCGTCCCGTTCGGCCAGCTGGGCGTCCCGATCGGCTACCTGCTCCTCCCGCTGGTTACGCTCCTATAGCAGTGGACGAGGCGTTAGAGAAGGCATCAGAATCAGGTAACGAATAAGTGATGAGGTAGCGTAAAAAGTATTCTAAAGTTCGATTAGGTTTTTGGTGGTGTATGATATATCGACGCAGACTTATCCGCGTTTATCAAACTTTGCCAACAGAGAGTTTGCTTCCCCGAGTAGTTGAAAAAAAATATTACTTACATACGAGCACGGGACGATGTTAGGGTGAACACTGAACGAACATGACGAGAACACTACCCTTGGCTGTGCACTGTGCAGTGTGTCACTGGGACTGTGTTCACTGGGCTCCCTCAGTGAGCTGATCCGTTTATCTCACCTCTTCGAGTTCGTCCTCACACTCGGCTATCATGCCGGTGAGCCGGTCGTACTCCTGTTGCTGTTGTTCCTCGAACTTCGTCTTCTGGGCGGCCAGCCGCGCGGCCGCCTCCGCCGTCTCGGTCTCCAGCCGGCGGCGCAGCTCGACAGCGGCCGCCTGTTCATTTCGCAGCTGCTGGTCGCGCTCCGAGAGCTGAGCGCGCGCCTAACAAAGGTACAAATTCAGAGTCATAAATAATATCTCGACCTCGACCTATAGATGAAGCTTCTCCATAGAATTACCTCCATTACCAGCGCTTTATAAATGCCAAAAGGAGCAGTTCAAGAGCCGAGAGGGTACGTCAGGCTACCACTATCTATCGCGACAAGACTGAACACACTAAGAGGGGTTCGGGTCTGGCGCCTCACCTGCTGCAGGGCGTCCTCGGCGTGGCTGATCAGAGCCGACAGCCTGTCGTGTTCCTTCTGGTACTCCTCAGAGAGCTGTTTCCGCAGAGTCTCCAGCTCGGCCGCGGCTGCGGCGCACTGTTTTTCTAGTTCTGCAGCGGCCGCAGTCCGCTGGTTTTCTAGTTCTGCTTCGGCTGCTGTCCGCTGGTTTTCTAGCTCGGTCTCGGCCGCCGTCCGCTGTTTCTCTAGTTCAGCCGCAGCAGATTTCCGCTGGTTTTCTAGCTCAACTGCGGCTGCCGCTCGCTGGTTTTCTAACTCAGCCGCGGCGGATGTCCGCTGGTTTTCTAGCTCAGCCGCAGCCGCTGCCAGCTGCTCGTCCCGTTCCGTTGAGAGCGCCGCCACCTGCGCCTCGTGGGAAGCCGCCAGGGAGGCGACCCGCGCCTCCGCCTCCGATCTCACGGAGGCGAGCACCTCGGTCATGTGGTCCAGGCTTCCCTGGAGGGCACAGGCGCCGACATTCCGGTCAGCACGGGAGGGACACTGCGATTGGAGCACGAAGCCTGCGATAATTTAGTGTGTGAATCAGATCGATCCCAGGTGAATAAGGCATATCAAATACCATCGCTTCGAATAAAACTTAGTGTACCTACATACATTTTGGTGCATCTAGTCTCATTGCTACGTAATTTATCACACACGGGTAAATATTAAATATACATTAACAACTAGGATTCAAAATGATCTATACGATAGTAACCTGCAGTACGAAGCTCGTGCAAAGTAACAGTGGACGCACCTGTAGCTGAATAAGGCGCTGTTGCGCCTGCCCGTCCTGCCGGGTGAGCTGCTCGTGTTGCTGCTGCAGCTTCTCGTGCTGCTGCTGCAGCTGCTTGTGCTGCTGCTGGAGCTGCTCGTGCTCCTCCTGGACGTGCAGAAGGCCCACCTCCCTCTCGTCTAGCTCGAACTGCAGCTGCGACTGACGCTCGGACGCAGAGTGCTGCAGTCGCTCCAGACGCCCTCTCGTCTCAGATAGTTTAGTCTTTAGGTCGTCGGCGGCCTGGCGCACGGTAGACAGCTCCTCCCTCAGCGCGGCGCCGGTGGCGGTCAGCTCGTCCCGTTCGGCAGTCAGTGCAGCCAGCTCCGACTCGAGCCGGGCCTTCTCGGCGGCCAGCGCGTCACGCTCGCCGGTCAGCGTCTCGGCCAGTTTCTCGGCTTCCTGCCGCTTGGATCGGACCTTCTGTAGACAGGCGGCCTGCGACTGCAGCTCCTCCTGGCGACTGGCTAGCATCTCGCGCAGGTCACTGATTTCGCGGCTCGCCTGCCGGCAGTCACCGCTGCTCTCGGCCGCTGCCGTCGCCAGCCGTTCCGTCTCGCGCGCGGTGCGCTCCTCTAGTTCAGAGAGCAGCGCGCGGCATTCGTCCCGCTCTGCCTCGGCGCGCGAGAGGCGCGGCGCCAGCTCGTCAGCACGCTGCTGCGCCTCCGCGGCCTCAGCGCGGGCCTCAGCCAGCTCGGCGGCGGCCCGCTCGGCGCGCTGCTCAGCCGCGGAGAGAAGCGCCTCGTGCTGCTCCTGGCCGGCGGTGGCGGCGGCCAGCGCGGCAGCCGCGTCGGCGGCGCTCCGCTCGGCGATCTCGTGCGCGCGCCGGGCGGCGGCGGCGGCCTCCTCTGCCCGCACCAGCCGCGCGGAGAGCGCAGTCAGCTCGCGGTCGGTGTCCTCAGCCTCCTGCAGTGTGCGCCGCAGCCGCTCGCACTCGCGGCTGTCGCGATGCTGCTGTTCGCGCAGCTCATCCAGGCCGGCCAGCTGAGCGCGCAGCTCGGTCAGCTGAGCCGTCTGCTTAGCCAGTCGCTGCTCGGCTGCCGCCGTGGCCGCGCGCAGCGACTCGTTGTCGGCCAGACACTGCTCGTTGAGCTGACGGAGGCCGGCGGCCACGTCTCGCTCATTAGCCTGCTGAGCGCGCGCGCTGGCCAGACTGGCGCGCGCGGCCACCAGGCGCCGCAGCAGCTGATCGGCTGTCTCGCCAGCGGCCGGGTCCTGGTCCGCCAGCTGCTGCTGCTGCTTCTCCATCTCAGCCTGCTGCTGGCGCGCCTCCTCGATACGGCGCTGCAGCTCCTGGTGTCCCTCCGTCAGCTCTGTGACCTGCGCAGCGGCGGCGTCCCGCTCGGCAGTCACGGCGCTCAGCCGCTCAGCCGCAGCTCGTTGCTCCGAGGAGACGCGCTCCAGACGCACCGACATTTCCTCCTTCTCGGCAGTGACCTCCCTCAGCTGGGACGAGACGTCCTCCCGCTCTTCCGTCACCGCCTCCAGCTCCACGGCCAGGCTGTCCTTCTCCACGGTCACCTGCTCGAGCTGAGCGGACAGCTCGTCACGCTGGGACAGCAGACTCCACACGTTCGCCTCGATCTTCTTTGTGCTGTCCTCGACGGTGGCGAGACGCGACTCGGCCTCACTGGCGTCCTCCTCAGAGACCATGACTCTGCGCTCGAGCGCCACTCGCTCAGCCGCCAGCCGGTCCCTCTCGGTGGTCAGCTCCTCCACGCGAGCCCGGAACTCCGCCACCTGGTCACTGGCCTGCTGCTGCTGCGCCGAAGCCGTCTCCAGCTGCGTCTCGAGCGTCTGCTGTTGCGTCGAAGCCACCTCCAGTTGAGACTCCAGCGTCTGCTTCTCCGCCGAAGCCGTCTCCAGCTGCGTCTCCAACGCCCGCTTCTCCGCCGTCAGTCCTGCCAGCTGCGTCTGCACGTTCTGGTGCTCCTCCGTCAGCTGTAACAGCTGCCTCCTGACGTCGTCCGTCTCCTGACGCGACTGCCGCAGAGCCGTCCCCGGCTCCGGCCGCTCGGGCTGAGGCGCGAGGGACAGATCAGCCAGCGTGGCGTCGCCGAACTGAACCGTCACCTCCTCGGGTGCCTGCTGCTCGCCGCTGTCCATAACGCTGATCTCGAGCGGCGCGGCGCTCTCGTCAGAGCCGGTCGCCGCCGTCAGGTCCAGCTGGGAGGCCTGCATCACGCAGGTCAGCTCCATGGGACTCGGCTCTGGGTCCGACTGCGGTCGGTCCGCGCACGTCAGGTCGAGATCGGCCGCCTGTACCACGCACGTCATTTCCGCCGGCTCCGGCCCGCTGCAGGTGACGTTCGGGTCTACGCCGGCGTCTGACTCGGCGGCGGTGTCAGTACGGGGCAGCGCTCGGATAAGCTCCAGCAAAGATGCGCCACCATCCGCCGGCAGGCCAGCCAGCTCGGCAAGCAGCGAGCGCGCCTTGGCCACTTCCGAGGCCAAGTCTGGTGACACTTCGGCCCGGTCCGCGGTGTCAGGAGCCTCCTGAGACAACTCTGCGTCGGCAGGCTTCTCGTCCTCTCCGCTCCGCTCCGCAGGACCCTCCTCACCATCATCTTCCAAAGTCAGACTCATACCGGCTGTTGAGTGATCGTTCAGCTGTGACAAATCAGGTACCGACAGAGCAGACTCGTTCTCGGCTCGTTCCTCCGACTCCGCTGGCCGCTGCAGCTGATCCAGCTGTGCCTGCAGCTGCCGCAGCTGTTCGTCCCGCTGCTCGAGCTCCGCCTGCAGCTGGCGAACCCGCTGCTCGGGCGAGTCACCGCCGGCTGTCAGTTGCTGCTGCAGGCGCCGCAGCTCCTCGTACACAGCCGCCACGTCGGCCGCCAACAGGCTGCGGTCCAGCGTCACGCCGGGGGTCAGCACGGACACCTCACTCAGCGACGATTGGTTGGCCAGAGCCGAGCGGCCGGCCGAGACCGAGCGGTCACCAGCCGGCGAGCCCGCCGCCAATGACTCGTCCATTTCGATACTCTCACTAAGCAGCTGGGACGCGTTACAGCCAGGTGTTCCCGGGGCGGCGGCGGGGGCGGGCGTGGGCGCGGCCGAGCGTCGGCGCAGCGACTGCAGCTCGTCGAACAGCGAGACGGCCTCGCCGGCGGGCGGCGCTGGCGGACGGAGCGCCGACAGGGACAGTCCTGAGACAGTCACATCTAGCGACATGTCCATCATGGATGCGTCGGCCGCGTCCGCCGGCCCGGGCGGCGGCGGCGGCGGCATCAGGCTGGGAGAGCCGAGCGCCGGCGCCGGCTGGCGCGGGTCCTCGGTCAGTGCACGGCGCCGCGCCTCCTCAGCGGTCGCCTGTTCGGCGGCGGACCGCTGCGCGGCCGCCTCCGCCTCTGTAACCAGCTGCGCCTGCAGGGCGGCCAGCTCAGCGCACGCCTTGTCCAGCTTCCTGTGCAGACCGGCGCGCTCCAGTTCAGCCTGCCGCTGCGTCTGCTCCACCTGCACACGCAGCTCCGCCCGGGACGCCTCGAGCTGACGCTGCAGGCGCGACACCTCCGCCTGCGCCAGCTCGGTCGCCTGCTCCGCCTCCGCCTTCAGGCGAACCGCGAGCGCCTGGTTTTCACTTCTGGCCGTCTCTAGCTGCACCTGAAGACCGGCCTTCTCTGCCTGCCAGCGTTTTTCGGCGATCTCTAGCTCCTCATGCAGTTTTCCCTCAGCAACGCCGCGCAGCCGCTCGTCCACCGCTGCCTGGAACTTCTCCTCGGAGATAGCCGCGGACAGCTCCCCGTGCAGCTTCTCTATACGCCGGCGTAGAGTTGCGATCTCATCCTCCTGGCGCTGTGTCGCCGTCGTCACCTCAGCATCCATCTCTCGCGCGGCCTCGGGAGGCTCGGAGTCGTCGACCTCGGAAGGCTCGGAGTCGTCGATCTCGGAAGGCTCGGAGTCGGAGTTGGATTCTGGCCAGTCTTCTGGCGGCGCGTGTTCCTCTACAGTCGGCTCCGGCTGGCCATCGGCGGCCGGCGGGGCGGCGCACCTAGCTTGCAGGTGAAGGATAAGCTCAGTCTGTTCGGCGACGGACCTCTCCATTTCCTCCACTTTGCGTTGTACCACGCCAAAACCTCTCTCGAGTTCGGCCCTCTCCGCGGCAAAGGCCTCTGCCTGCGCAACGCGCGCTCGTTCAGCTTCCTCAGCGGCCTCCGTCAGGCGTTCGATCTCCTGACGCGCGGTCTCCAGCTCCTGCTCCGCCTCCTGCAGCTCCTCAGCGGCGCCCTCCGCCACCTCCTGTCTGGCCATCTGCAGCTCGTGGCGCATCAGGTTCCGCTCCTCGTTCTGTCGGTCGCGTTCAATGACCATCTCTCGGCGCACATCGTTGAGCGCCTCCAGCGACTCGTCCGTCGCTGCCGTCAGCAGCTGCTCCGCCTGCTCCCTGGCCGTCTCCAGCTCGCGGCGGAGATTGTCGATCGTCTCCATTGCCACGGCGTCGTCATTCTCCCTTTGCAAATCGGTAGTCACCATCAGCTGCTCCGTTTCGGCCCGAGCAGCCGCCAGCTCCCGTCGGAGGCTGACGATGGTCTCCTGCAACCGAGCGACGTCGGTCTCCTGAGCTACAGCGTCCGTCTCCTGGGCTCCGGCAGCCGTCTCCTGAGCTGCAGCGTCCGTCTCCTGAGCTCCGGCAATCGTCTCCTCAGCTCCAATATCAGTCTCATCAGCTCCGACGGCCATCTCCTGAGCTACAGCGTCCGTCTCCTCAGCTCCAGTATCCGTCGCCTCAGCGCCAGCGGTCATCTGAGCTCCGACAGCCGTCGCATCGGCTCCTGTATCCGTCTCCTTAGCTCCAGTATCCGTCTCCTGAGCTACAGCGTCCGTCTCTTCAACTCCCATAGTCGCCTCCTCAACTCCAACAGTCGTCTCCTGAGCTCCGGAAGCCGCATCCTGAGCTAACGCGTCCGCCTCCTGAGCTCCGGCCTCTGTTTCCTCGGCTCCGACGTCCATTTTCTGAGCTCCGATGGCACCCGCTAGCCGCTGTCTCTCCTCAGCTGCCGCTAGCTGCTGCTGCAGACGGGCGATGGTTTTCTGTACCTCAGCCGTGGCCGGCACGGACGTCTCGGGACTCGTGGAAGCCTCGCGCTGAGTTACTTCCTTAGCGTCAGCCAACTGCCGTTGCAGACAGACGATGATTTCGCGTAGGTTAGCCACCAGATTGTCATCGGTCTCCATCTTCTCGTCTGACGACGTCGAGTCAAGAGGCCGTGGCTGGTCTTTGGCGGCGGCCAGCTCCGACTGGAGTCGCTCGATGGTATTTTTCAGCTCGGCAGCCTCAGACGCAGAGACCAGCTGACGGCCTTCCTCCCTGGCCGCGGCCAGCTCCGTTTCCAGACGCTGCACTGTGTCGGCTAGTCTGTCTCTGTCTGCAGCGGCCGCTTGCAGCGTGCGGTCCTGCTCCTCTAGTCGCAGGGCGAGGGCGGACTGCTCCTCGCCAGCCGGCATCCCACTCTGCGGCTCATGCGTGCCGCAGGCCGAGGCGGTTGTCTGTTGTTCCGCCTGCACCTCGAGTGCGGACGCCAGACGTTCGTTCTCCGCCCTAGAGGCAGCCAGCTCTTCCTCCAAACGACGAACAGTTTCAGCCAAAGATCGGTCATGCTCTGAGCTATCCGACGTAGCAGACAGCCGCTGTACTTCCTCCTTGGAGGCTGTCAGCTCCTGCTCTAGACGGTAGACGGTGTCAGACGACGCTGTCAGCTCCTGCTCTAGACGGGTTACGATGTCCGTAAGATCAGTGGCAGAAGACAGCCGCTGGATTTCCTCCTTGGAGGCTGTCAGCTCCTGCTCTAGACGGGCGACCGTGTCAGACGAGGCTGTCAGCTCCTGCTCTAGACGGGCGACAGTGTCCGTTAGTTCAGTGGCAGAAGACAGCCGCTGGACTTCCTCCTTGGAGGCTGTCAGTTCCTGCTCTAGACGGCAGACCATGTCAGACGAGGCTGTCAGCTCCTGCTCTAAACGGGCGACCGTTTCGGCAAGTTCCGTAGTAGAAGACAGCCGCTGGACTTCCTCCTTGGAGGCCGTCAGCTCTTGCTCTAGACGGCAGACCATGTCAGACGAGGCTGTCAGCTCCTGCTCTAGACGGGTTACAGTGTCTGCAAGTTCAGTGGCAGAAGACAGCCGCTGGACTTCCTCCTTGGAGGCTGTCAGTTCCTGCTCTAGACGGGAGATCGTTTCGGCAAGTTCCGTGGCAGAAGACAGTCGCTGGAATTCCACCTTGGAGGCTGTCAGCTCCTGCTCTAGACGGCAGACCATGTTAGACGAAGCTGTCAGCTCTTGCTCTAAACGGGCGACAGTTTCGGTAGGTTCCGTGGCAGAAGACAGCCGCTGGACTTCCTCCTTGGAGGCTGTCAGCTCCTGCTCTAGACGGCAGACCATGTCAGACGAGGCTGTCAGCTCCTGCTCTAGACGGGCGACAGTGTCCGTTAGTTCAGTGGCAGAAGACAGCCGCTGGACTTCCTCCTTGGAGGCTGTCAGTTCCTGCTCTAGACGGGCGACAGTTTCGGTAGGTTCCGTGGCAGAAGACAGCCGCTGGACTTCCTCCTTGGAGGCTGTCAGCTCCTGCTCTAGACGGGCGACAGTGTCCGTTAGTTCAGTGGCAGAAGACAGCCGCTGAACCTCCTCCTTGGAGGCTGTCAGCTCCTGCTCTAGACGGCAGACCATATCAGACGAGGCTGTCAGCTCCTGCTCTAGACGGGCGACAGTGTCCGTTAGTTCAGTGGCAGAAGACAGCCGCTGGACTTCCTCCTTGGAGGCTGTCAGCTCCTGCTCTAGACGGCAGACCATATCAGACGAGGCTGTCAGCTCCTGCTCTAGACGGCAGACGGTGTCAGCCAGTTCAGTGGCAGAAGACAGCCGCTGAACTTCCTCCTTGGAGGCTGTCAGTTCCTGTTCTAGACGGCAAACGGTGTCAGACGACGCTGTCAGCTCCTGCTCCAGGCGACTGACAGCGCTGGCGGCCTCCTGACGCTCCTGACGTAGCTGCTCCACCTCCTTCCGCAGCAGCTCGACCTCGCCGCCCTCGTCTGTGGAGAGAAGAGACCACCGTCAGAATATGAAGCCCGGGTCAAACATCCAGCAACGCTCTTCGCGCGACAATCGAACAGACACGGCCAGACAAGAGCCTCAGGATCGCCTGACGGCACCCTCCGCTCAGCAACCGAGCCGCGGCTGCTGACACTGCGGGAGAAGTCTCAGCCAATTAAGATAATACGACAGCTGCTGCAGGGATCACTGAGAACGCATTGGAAAACGAGGTAGGAAAAAATGCATAAAAAGTGATGCGGTGACTCTAATTGGACAGCTGGATATATTTTTTTAAATAAATTTACTGTTGCGAGCAAACCTTGCTAATATGATGTGACCGCACCCACCTGCCGCAGCCGTCTGTCCCTCCTCTGCTATGTCGTCCAGCGGCGCTAGCCGGTTCTCGGATCCAGCCAGGTGGAGGCCGGCGCGACGCCTCTTGCGGTGACGACCCTCCTGTGAACAGAACGGACACGGGCTGTTAGTCGTAACACGGGCCGTGGACACAACTTCTAAATCGTGACACGGACACGGTCGGATCATTTGTGCGTTGGGTCACGCCGGCCGGCGGCTCACCTAGCAGCTGCACAACGCATCAACGGGGTGAGCAATTTGGGAATTAACTCGGAGCGAGCCGTACGGAACACAACATCGTATCACGTGTTCCAAACGCCTTCACATCTACCTGGTAGGTACCAGACTAGGTACCATAGCTATCCGACAGTATGAAGTGCCGTGTGCTCGAGGCGCTGTCCATGTCTCTCACCCTTTCTCCGTTACTGGGGGAGGGGGGGGGGGGGCACCAGTCTGTGTGATCTCTCCCTCTCCCCTTTACCTGGTCGATTGGCAGCGGCGGCGGAGGGGGCGGGGGCAGCTCCACCGTCTGCGTCGCCGCGTCCACGCTGATGGGTGGCGAGTGCTGCGGCGCCGCGTCCATACTGGTTGCGCGCCGCTTCCTACACGTGACGCGGCTGACCGGCGGCGGCGCGGGCCCGGCCCCGTCCGCGACGAACACAGAGCCGGCCGCCTCCTGTCGGAAAGCAGGAGGATAGGAATGGTGAAAGTGAGGACAATAAGAGAGGTTTTCACTCATACCATAAAAGTTTAACCATAATCACAGCTGAGCGTTTTGCGCTCGCGATGCCGGTCTCCCCGCGCCACTCACGTCTGGCGGCGGCTCGGCGAACTGCGAGTCCGACCGCTCGGCCACAGGTGGCAGCAGCAGCGGCCGCTGGAACGGTGCCAGGCTCTGGCGGCTGCGCTGTAAGCCGCACCACGTCATCCGCCGCTTCTTCCTCTGGGACCTGGGGAGCGCCGGGAGTAAAGATCACAAGACAAGCACCACCTTCAACCTACCACGCGATAATGTAAGCTTTCAGCTCGAGGACACGCGATCAAGCATGATCAAAATGGTTATGTAAGACATGCCCGATGCTCATGCATAGACCACACCTATCCGTGCTTCTATCCTCAGGATACTGAAATCCTTCTCCTTCAAGCCGCGACCCCCTCCGGGCTGGACAGGCAACTTTATCTCATGCGGGCTGCTCCCTTGGAGCGGCACTGCTGCTCCTGAGGGAGCGCACCCCGTAGCCGGGTGCAGTGAGTGCCTTGGGGCTGGGTGGCCTGTCCTCTGGACGGGCTCAGCCCCGGCGACTCACTAGGGTGCCTGCCCAGACCAATGTTTCCCCCTAATTCCTATTATCCTTCCGGCTCTGCAATGGTCTTGTCGACCGAAAGGGCCTAACCCAACAAAACAAACAAAGCATAGACCACCGTTCCGTGCTTCTATCCTCAGGATACTGAAGTCCTTCTCCTCCACGCCGTAACCCCCTTCCGGGCTGGACAGGCAACTTTATCTCATGCGGGCTGCTCCCTTGGAGCGGCACCGCTGCTCCCGAGGGAGCGCACCCCGTAGCCGGGTGCAGTGAGTGCCTTGGGGCTGGGTAGCCTGTCCTCTGGACGAGCTCAGCCCCGGCGACTCACTAGGGTGCCTGCCCAGACCAATGTCTCCCCCTAATTCCTATAATCCTTCCGGCTCTGCAATGGTCTTGTCAGACCGAAAGGGCCTAACCCAACAAAACAAAACAAACAAACAAAAAACAAAAACTCATGCATTAGCACATTGGACACATGCGTTGCAAGATTCAGCTGACTAGCCACACTGAAGGTCATGTTAATTACAATACCGCCGTGCCCGGTAAGCAGCACATGCAGTGTACAACATCAGCCGACGAACCAAGGCCCACCGATGTCTCCCCGCCCCGCACTCACGCGGCCAGCAGCTGCGGTTTCTCGCTGGGAGCCGAGCTGACGACCAACTTCTCGGTGAGCTGTCGCAGCCGCTCCTGCAGCTCTGTGTTGCGCTTGCTCTCCTCCGCCAGGGCGATTTGCATCTCCTCCACCTCCGTGGCGCGGTTGGTCTGTTTGGCCTGCTGCAGTTCAGCCCGCAGTCCGTGGATCTCGCGCTTGAGTCGCTTCAGGTGAGCCGAGTCGGACATCACCTGCGGACGACAGAGCGGGGTCAGACAGGGTGGGGAACGGGGTGAGACTTCGGAGAGAGCAGCGGGGCAGGGACTCGACCATATAGGCGGAGACGAGCTCTCGCACACGGAGATACCCAATAGATAGCGTGCGAATATTACAGTAGCCAAATCTTGACTATGACTTGACTATGAGCCGGATGATTCAACTTCATTGATTATCACGGCATTATGAAGCTTACGAAATGATAAGTACCCAATGAAGCAAGCCATGTCTGGTAATATTGATGCAAAGGAAGCAGCAGCTTTACACATAGGTCATAAGGAGAAACGCATCCGCAGCCCATTAAATTACCACAGCTCGCTGCTCTGGGACACACGTTCCCGTCACAGCATTGCCCCGATAATTTGAAAAGCTTCCCCAATTCAACTCTGTTATTCGTTCTGCAGAAGTCTGGTCAGAGCGACCAGCTTACCTCGTTAATATGCGGTTTGTTCTTGATTGTCTTGGCTCGGCTGGCGAAACGCAGCGTGGAGTGGGTCTCCTCGATGGCGGCCGGAGTCACAGTGCAGATGATGGCCGTCTGAGGGGATAGGGGGAAGCAGGGGGGGGGGGGGGTTATGAGATTCCAGACGGTGTGGCGAATGCAACACGAAATGGGACTGAATTAATGTCACATGGCGAGAACACGTTTATTCGCACACCCACGATCGATAGTAATTGGTATCCCAACGTGACTTAATCTAAGCTGTGACATCTGACCAAGAGCGATCCAGTGTGACCTGACCTGTGACCTCTGACTAATGGCATCACACGTCCGTTATCGGACTTGTAACTGGAGACCAAGGATCCCACGTAGTGACCAAGCCTGACCTACGACCAAGAGCTCGGCAGCACATTGACCCGGCCTGACCTCTAACCAAGGCCTACCACATAGTGACCCGTTTTGACCTTTGACCCAGGACTACCAGGACCCTTGACCTGTCCTGACCTTGGCATTGCCTCCGAGCGACGTCTGCAGGATGCGCGTCAGCTTGCTGTTGCGGTAGTTGATGAAGGGGGCGCCCTCGCTGAGTTTGCTGATGACGTTCCCCAGCTCGAACAGAGACGAGTTGATGGCACAACCCTCGCGGAACCTGGAGGTCAGGGTAAAGATAAATCATAGGTCATTTGTTTATTGGGGCTTAAGGGCGCGCCGACAACAAGGTCATTTTGCGCCCAGTACGGGCATTAAGTGCTTCAAAAGAGACGAGCAGACTTCGCGTAAGTCGATACAAACGTCACATAACACAGATTGACTGTTCTATCAGCCCCACTCACCAGTCTGCCACCAACACACATAAGTCAGTCTGAGTCTACCCGTTCCACCTCCCCCGTCCTCACCTGTCTCCGGTGGCTCCGGTCTGCCGCGCGCGCTCCGAGCCGGCCAGGTCGACCAGGTTCAGGTGGGACACCACCACGGCGTCCTCATCTCCGTCCTCATCACGCACGCGCGACTCGATGATGATGCGGAAGATGGTGTGACTGCGCGAGCTGCGATCGTTCATGTTGGTGACGCCAAAGTGGCGAAAGTTCTCGCCGCGGCGCATCAGGCTGAGCAGCATCTCAGGCGTGTTGACACACTGCTCACGAAGGTCGGATACGTACACCTGGGGGTGGGGAGGGGCGGGGGAGGTGAGGGGGTGCGGACTGAGGGGCAGCCCGCTCCAAGAGACGGCGCCCCATCGGTGGCAATGACAGTTACCGACTACAAATTGAGATAAAAAAGTTAGTGATAGAGCCAGGATCGAATATTCTCGCCTATTATAGATCAGAGACCCCCAAATGCTTGATCTTTCCCAGCAATATGTTTTGTTTTGGTTCACTCGATATTGCAGCTGAATGTCACATAATCTTTTTGGGCAAAATATGCCGAATTTACAGCGTATATAACACTAAGCGCTAACATTTCGTAACAAATACAGTGAATAAGGACAGAAATGCAGAGTTTGGCGGCAGCTGACGTGATACCATCTGTCCCCGGTCCTACACTCAGGCGCCACAGTCTAGTGGAGCGGCAGGCTGCTGCAGTCAGCATCTTACCTGGCCCTGCGGATCCTCGTGAATGCGGAGTCCCTTGGAGGTACGCGGTCCCTCAGACAGCAGGTCATCCACCACCTGAGAAGACAGAGGAGGCAGCGATCAGGGGACGATGAGACGTTCCACGACACTGCATATGACTGTTCTGCCGGTGTGTTTGGTGTACGCGCCGCCTGTCGGTTTGTGGATACCTGAGACCACCCGCCGCCGGTAGTGGCCACAGGCGGCGCTCTGTCGAGCGGCTCACTAGATCGTAGCGTTAGATGAGCAGACAACTTCGTAACACATAACCAATGCGCCATCAACTACAACTGACTCCTAAATAAGAGACTAAATCAATCGAGCACATGGTTAAAATTTAGACATACGGGATAGCAGAAAGCATTGCACAATGCACACTGCTTCTTTACTTTCCTGTTCGCTGAATTCGAAAATTGCCATCAATGCACATTTTACCATCTTCCGCACTTGTTGCAGCCGAGTTCTACCAGGGCCGGGCCGGAATCTCCCATCCCCCGCTGGGCACGTCACTTACCTCTCGGTAGATTTCCATGTAGCTGACTCGGATCAGGTACTCGCGGTCGGGCGTCTGCTCGATACAGTCGAACATCTGGTGCACCACGCGCGGGATGGTGCCCGGATCCGAGTCGTTGCCCAGCATGGTGTGCGTTTTGCCTGCGGCAGCGGCCAGCCCGAACACAGTCAGGTTGGGAACGACTGAGTTGACGGCAAGGGGGCGATCTGGCTACTGTGGGACTACCAGGGAGAGGACAGCGGTGCGATGGAAAACGAAAACACATCATTGCTGTCCGAGTCCGTCTAGAGAGTTAAGCTGAAAACGAGTACACTCATCAGAACAAGCAGACATAGCAACGGCCACCGCTAAACCGATTTTTACCCCGGAAGAACCGCAGAACCAGCCTCACACATGTAATCATGCACGCACTCTATCTATAAAAATGATTATTATATCTAAAAATACACAATCCTTTAACACATTCACTTTTTAGAAACCTTTGCATAATGAATATCCGAACGAAAGCAACGTTGCAAGATGCGCAACATGTCTCAATTAAATCAGATACGTTATCAACGAATCAATGAAAACAAAATAAGTAAAAACACTAAAGTTGACAACTTCCTAAGTAAGATCGCAAATGAATACATATAACCAGTGAGTACAGTCTCTTCGAACTGTGCCGAATGGAAGGATCATGCTGTTGTTTTTCGAGCGACAGATGCCATAGCCGGACACACCATGCACCCAGACAGCCTGAAATAGACAGAACGTCACCGGAGGACGCTGTCAGTGTCCGTTCCTCCGTCGGGAGCGCCAGAAGGGACCAGCAGATGGAGACAGCCTGTGTCACGTCGGTATGTTGGGAGGGAACCGAACTGACGTATCCGGCATCCAGCAATACCATCAAGCCAACCGCGTCTTGTATGTCCCGTCGATCGGTCATCAATGTGGCGGTCGGCGCCGACCTGAGTCAGTTACCTGGTTAGAGGCTATAGACGATTGAAACGAGCAGTGACGGTCGTAACCACAGATCGATTACAATTTACATATGACCTGACGGGCCCGACCCGATACGACAGAACCGGCCGTACCGCGGAAGCTGGGGCATAAGTTTCTCCGTCGAGGGGGATAAAGGGGGCGGAGCCAGGATCCGAGTCCGACCACCGTCGAGCAGCGACGGTGGGGATTGGGGGGATGGGGGGGGGAGAATTATGAGACTGAAATCTAACACCCGACGTCTGATGAGGTGTGGGGCTGGGAGGGTGAAATCCGAGTCCCCGACGTCTGACGAAGTGTGGGGGAGGGGGGGGAGTGAAATCATACACCAGACTCCGTCAGCAGGCGGCGGGGATTGCCGGACGGCAGTCGGCGCTAACGCCGTGAGTTCCTTACCAGATGATGTTTGACCGTAGGCGAATATCGTAGTGTTGAAGCCGGCCATTGCAGAGTTGACCAGCTCTTCAACAGTGCCTGAAACAAACGATGGCAAATCAGAGTTTTGACATCTCGAGCCTCAACATTTGAGTGAGTTCAAACAATAATCAATACTACCTGAAATGCACCTAAAAGTTAAAACAAATAGAGTGCAAGAGTGACAGCTATGAGCATACCTTTGTCCATGAGCATGAGCCTATGCTAGCTGAAGCAAAAAAAAAAATCAACTCACCTGAATAAACGTCTGCATTTGTTGCAGCTTCATTATATACTTTGTCGAAGACATATGGTTGACAAAGTGCATTACCAGTCCCAGGATCGAGCTGGAACAACGATTTATCTTCGCTTGTTTTCCAATGTTTCTTGAGGTCATCGTTCAACTCGCGTTTGATGAGCTCTCGGACACGGACCGAAACACTGATGTTGCAATCGGTCATATTCTCGTTTAACTAAAGCCACCAGGCAGATTAGCGCTCAAATCGACCATAAAGCTTTTATGCCCCTTTATTGAAACACATCTTCACCACGATTAACAAAATTGTCAAATATCTAGCAGAGCATCGTCCTCACCCCGACCGAAATCTTCTCAAACTGCCGACGAGTTATTTCAAATTTGGAACGAGTGCTTCCATATTTCTGCCTCTGTATGAAGGAAACTATAAAACTTTCTCACGAATTAATTTTTCCGATTTTTTTTTAGAAGAAACGATGATTCCGTTTCTTCATTTCTTCAGGGAGAGTAATAACTTCAAAGCATCTTATTTCATTTATCATTTTTTCAAACAAAAATAAGGGAAAAATTATGCTATAGAGCTATTTCAAATGAAGGATTTCCCTTATTGTAGTTACTGCGCAGGTTTTGTAGCTGTTTCTAATTGTAAACAAAGTAGTTGTAGTAGACTGGTGGCGCGAAGGTAGTAAAATTTATAGAGGAGGCGACTGTTATTTATTTATCGTGATTATTGCTGGCAGGGTATATAGAACAACATCGCAGGAGTGTGTTAGTATTACTCCCGTTTGTTATTCTTATTGGTTGGCAGCACATCGACATGATATACTGTGGTAAATTTGTCTCGTTTACATAACATTTTTGACGAGGCTTTAGTTCATTTTGATTTATTTTGCGATAATTCCGATGCATTGATCTTTGCATGTTTAGAAGGGATATTTTTTGTAAATTTTAAAGTACCATTGGCATATTTTGCAACATAATGGGCGGAGCTGAGCTACAAACTTGCAACAATTCCTATGTAAACGGGGCTTTTGTTTGTGTTGTGCTAGGAACTGGAACAGGCATTTCATTCTGCATCTGTCGGTATGTTTTTCAAATAAAACTTATAAAATGCTAGGGTGCATGTTTCAGTTTTTCATAAGTTTCAGAGGATGGAGGGCCTTCAAGTTGTACCCTGCTTGATCTGCAAAAACACCTGATCAACTCGAAAAGCTTGTATCAAGAGAAAACTATGTATACAAAAACCCCTTTGATAACAAAGCTCTCAAAAATAGTTCGCAAAAGACTGGAGACACATCTGGTAAGTTTATAATCCCTGGGCCCCTGGCCATATGAATATGTGAGTCCGTTGTTGATGCTGTTACCACTGTAACAAGGATGCAACAGCACATTGAAGTGATGGTGCAGCAGCAGACATCTGCCCATCGAGTTGAAGTGGTTGATTGTCAGTTGCGTTTTCTCGTGCAAGCAAGTCTCAGTGTTCATGAGGAAAGCTCCAGAAAGCACTTGAATAGTTGAATAAAAGAATGAAAGCACTTGCTTCAATGGTGGTGAAATCTCTTTTGCGTCCTGAGCTCAAACTTGAATAAAAACCACACCATGCTGTAGCCTGTAGGTAACAAACCATATAATCCTAGAACTCTGTTCATGCAATCATATAATGCTACAAATCAGGTACACCACTACAAACAGAAATAACAAAACCTAATCTAACCTGGCCTAACCTTACTTAACATAGCTTAATCTAACCTGACGGCTGACAGCATGTGGTTGGGTGTGACTTATGAATGTATTGTTTAAAAAGTCTCATAAATATTGATGTTTAGACTTTATAACCTTAGAAGGATGTTTTCTTTCTATACATGCTTTTGTTCTATGAATTTATTCAGTTTTGAAAGGGTGCAAAAGGAGGAAATTGCCTCAATGGTTCATTTTCTATTTAGGCTGGAGATGAAATGAAAAGTAGACAGACTGGTGATCACTGATAAATACCAATACCATATTTGTCTCTGTAATACAGTTTGAGCTTCATTTGTTTCTGGCAGGTTCCTCCAGCAGAAGTTTGTGGAACATGCCACTCTCTTCTGGATCTTGTGGATGAACATGAAAGCAAAACTGGCTTATGAGAATGAGGTGAGGTAGCGCAAACAATGTAAATCGTATGAAATGCTACATGCCATCCTTTGTTTGCAATGCTTTGGTAAATAAATTTTCTTCTTTCTATGACCTGCATCAGTTGCTGTGGAAGATAGTGCAGTCCTACAGCCTGCGCTTACAAATAGGCTGTATTATATTTCAACAATCACCATTCTAAGATCATCATAATCACATAATTCCACCTCTTCTTTATCTTTTTTTTTTTTGCCAAGGTGCGACTCAAATTCAAGCTGCCATTTCCCATCGTGTTGGAGGATAAGAACGACGTTGCTCCGCCTCCGTTCGACGACCAGCCAATCGGCGAGCCACAGATGGGCAGCGCGGCCAATGCCGAGCTCGAGCCGGGGCCCGATGACGTCATTGTGTCGGCAGACGACACCGGATTGGTCACCGTGACCTACAGCCAGCCGGACGCCGACTCCGGTATGTTGCACTGTCGATAGTCTTCTTATTCTGGCAGACAGTGTCTATTACAGACTGGTTGGGAGGGTGACTCGGGGCCAGGAGGTACGCTATCAATGATTTTAGCGCACTCCAACTGCACGGGTGTCAGTTTTATGTGTCAGTATGTCAGTTCCCACCAGTACCGCAGACTATCCACGTCGAAAATCTAATGACGAGCACCGGAATAGGATTGAACCCGGGGTATCTAATTACCGAGTGTCCGATGTTTGACCAATATTCTTACGGGATGGACTGATGCCCTACCAGCCACTACTGTCCACCTATGTGTGCAGCAGTGTGATTAATCCCTCCTCCCTCCTTTTGTCAAACGCCGCCCAACCGCCGGGCACGAGCTCCTGGCGTTGTCTGTTTGTATGTGTGGATGCGCGCGCACGGTGGTATGACCAGTGTCCTCTCTTTTCGTTCAGACGCGGGCCGACCGCCGGGCCCCAGCTCTCCGGCAGTCATATGGGACGGGGACTCAGACCAGCAGATCATCATATTCAAGGTCAGTCCCTGATGTCACCCAGCTCCAGCAGGGAGGCAAGTAGAACAGTTGTCCGGAGGAAACAGCGATATTCTGTGTGAATTGACGGATATTTGTCACCGGAGGGGTAAAATCGGGTGACGTTATCTTTTTTCTTACCGGATTGCAAACGCCGGAAGCATCTTTCGCTTCGACTATCTCTTTGTGATGTCGTCGACTGACCATCAGTGGTTTCGTCCACTGTGGTCCATCACTGACGCTGCTGATCCGTCGCACTGACTGACTGTCATGTGTTCTGTTTTAGGAGGAGAGACGCCCGTGGTCGGTCTGCTGGACGATCTGGTGCCCGCCGAGCCACCGGTGCGTATCCGTCTCGCTCTACGCGGGTTTCACCAAAATTTGATTTATTAGCGAGTAGCGTTATTAGCGATTTATTAGCGACAAACGTTTTTGAGCTATGATGGAATCGTTTTGGATGCAAAGCTGATTTAAAAACTGTGAATTTTACAACGGCACAATGGTCAATGAGTTAGTCATGTTCGGCAAATAATGCGAATATCCAATCGATTTCCAAGGTTATTCAACGACTTTTTAATTGTCTGTCAATGTCTGCACTGTTACATGTTTTGCTGCGTTCTTTCCGCTATCATAAGTGCTTAACGGATATTGGATAGATTATTCGTCCTATTGCATGACCTATTGATCTTTTCACACGCACTACAGCGTCCTGTTTGACTGTGCTGTTTCCTATATCGCCAGGTGGCCAGACCAGTTCCGTCAGCCACCAGCCGACCGCCAGAGGTGTCCAACCGACCACCAGCAGTTTCCAGTCACCCCCCGCCGCCGCCACCGCTGCCACCACCGCCACAGCCGCCCGTTCAACCGCCGAGTGTGTTCTTCTGCGACGTCTGTGACGCACCATTCACATCCACCGAAATGCTGGCTAGTACGTGGTGTGTTGGACGTGGTGGATGATACTGTTGTTTATCTGAGCGGGTCTTGTTTAAGACCTAGTTTTTGATGTCGAAAGTGATATGCATAGTTGTTGTGAGGTCTTGTGAATTGTTGCGTGCTTTACCAGACTGCGCCAGGCGACTATTCGCTTCCGGAGCGCCGGTATCCCACTATACTCAGCGCCTCCACTGACTCCTCTGTGACCTTTGACAGGTCACCGCAGCACCCACCCGCTGCTGCGCTTCCAATGCGTCTTCTGCGCCGAGCGCTGCGCCACCACGAAGGAGCTCAGCCGACACATGAATGAGGCGCACGCCGACCAGCTGATGCCCTGTGGCCACTGCGACAAACGGTTTGCCACAAAGCCGGTCTCAAGCAGCACGTCAAACAGCAGA